AAAAAAAAAAAAAAGCACACAGCATTTCATTATTAAAAACAAAAAAACACAAGGGGAGAGGGTTTAGTTCCCAAAGGCTAAATTAATGTAAATTCGGTTGATTTGTAACTCTTTAATTACAAGAGTGGTTCTCAAACCTTAGCAAGCATAAAAATAACATGGAGGGCTAATTAAAACCCAAGACTATTGAGCCCCAACCCCACAATTTCTGATTCAGTACATCTAATCTAGGGTGGGTCTTAGAATTTGCATTTCTAACAAATTCTCAGTTAACAATTTTTGAGATGGTCTAGGGTCAGTCAGCATTGCTAGCATGAGTGGTAGGGAAAATAAAATAAGTGGCCATCGGCGTACACTAGAGAGAAATGTGAATCTGCTGGAAAGGAACCACAGTTTTGTGAATCACCGCTTCAGAAGTCTAGTTTACTAAAGCTAAAAAAGTAGGGGAGGAGGGAGATAAAAGCAGAAACAGAGTTCAGGTCAAACTTATACCAGTTTTAACTATATTTAACTAGCTTTAAAATGCACCACTGGGACTTCTGGCTGCTCAGTCTGAGAAGCATATGGCTCTTAATCTCAGGGTCGTCAGTTCGAGCCCCTGACTGGGTATAGAGATTACTTAAATAAACTTTTTTAAAAATGCACTACAAGTTCTCAGTTAATTTAGCCAATCTAATGTCAGTAACCACTCAAAACCTAAAAAAGAAGCTTTTGGGTCTAAAATTCCACAAAATGTACCTAAATTAAACACAGTCTATTTCAACCCTAATGTACCGTGGATTTACAACATGGATTAGGACCTTATAAGGAAACGCCGCTTCAATTCTTTTTCCTCACCATTACATACTAGCAATGCTGACCCTACACCATCTCCAAAATGTCTCACCTCATCAATTAACTGGAAAACTACAACCACTACTGTAAAAAATTTATTTAATTTTAAAGATTAACTGAACAAATAAAAAGTATTTCTAAAAATAGAAATCAAATAAAATTACACCACTATTATAGGGCCACTACACCACCACTACATACTATAGCCACTACACCATTACTTACATTCAAATCAGGTATACACTATATGATTTTCCTAGGTAGAAAAAGATATGTAAGAGCTCAGAAATATTTAAGGCTTTTAAATGTACCTGTTAATCATAGAGCTCAGATTAAACAGTAAAGTTATCCATAAAGCCAAATCTTGTAAGCTAAATTCTAATTTCCCACTGACATATTTTTAACATTCCTACACAAAAAATACAGCATGATAGGTTTGGAGGAGCATATCCCAAAGGAGCAGACAAGGGCCTTCTCATCTCCCCATTTCATAATCCCATAGACTTTTTTTTAAAAGAAACTAAAAGCAAATATCCACTAGCCACGTATGGCTATTTAAATTTAAGAATAAGTAAAATTTAAAGTTTAAATCCTCCAGCACAATTGCTACATTTCAAGTGCTCAACAGTCACATATGGCTAGTAGCTACTACATTGGACAGCACATACACATAGCATTTCCAACACTGCAGAAATTCTATTGGACAAGGCTAATACATTAAAGGAAAAAAAGGGTTATCAGTAGCTTTAAAGATAGAAGGAAAAATATTTTTCCATGTCAAAATGTTTACTATTGGCTTATTTTTTAAGTGTAAGGCTTCCCAAACAATAGGAAATGCAGTCCTACCATTCTTCCTCCAGAATGTCAACTTTAGAACAGACCAACAGGGTGCCAGAGGCTAAAGAGTATGAAAATGTTAAATAACATCTTTGTAAAGTTTACTAAAAATTGCCTAAAACACCTCATTGTAGAAACCTAAGTTCCTTTAACATAACTTTTGGAATTGTATTAAAAATAATTTTACCAAATGACAGACTGTTTCTCTAACGTCCAAAAGATTATTTATAATTTTATGTTCAAAATGCACTGATTACTTAACTTCAATTTTAAGGAAATTTCCAGATCTTAATACCCTATGAAGATTTACCCTTCTCTTGAAGCCATTTAGATTTTAAATGTTCAAATGTTCTCCCTAAAAAATACAATGTCATTAAATTACAATCAATTCTATCTACATATTAAAATTTTGCCTTGGCCAATCATGAAGAGAACCCGATTTTCAATGTTACAACTCCAATAAGAAAGCTTCCACAAACTGCCATGCACATAAAATTTGAGGGTCAAACTAGAAAGGCAACACAACACAAATAAGCCCTTGTGTAAAAATGTCTCCAAGAAAAATATTTTGTTGGAAAAAAAATCCAGCATCTAAATACGAATTACAATAAAGCTGTATAACTGACACTGATGGAATTCACCACAAAGCACATAGGAAAACCGAATAAAGTAGATATTTTGGCCTGTAAGAGTAAACCCCCGCTGTTTAAATTAAAATAAAAAATGTAAGGGAGGCACAATTTTTGCATGTTATTGGAAAACTTTTAAGACTTAGACTAAAAAGTAAAATGTATACTCTCCTAGCATTAAAATGTGCACGTAAAATATAGAACAGTATGTAATTCATACCCCCCCCCCCCGCAAAAACGTGGAAACGTCCAGAATGTTTAGGAAGAGAGCATCCTACACTAGATACGTAACAATTCAACACCGTCCCAATATTGCAGAGTTTAAGAACTAGGCAGTTTAAAGGTGGGCTGCGCTGAGGTGGAGGAGAAACAAAATGGTTTACCGTTAAACATGCAAGTCTGGTTGCAATCAAGGAGATGATTTGGAAAATTTTTAAGAAGCGAGTCCGCCGGTTGGTCCTCCTTGCCCAATGAAATTTCTGGTAAGACCGAAGCTTCCGTTCCAAATTCGTATCTAATTCATTTCCCTTAACACAATTGTGCCTGCAAGAAGTCTCACCCCAAAACGTTCCTGACCCTTGTCGGAATCAGAGAACTTAAACCCATTGGGCCGGGTTAGCCGTAGCCTATGTAGCGCGGGGCAAGCGAAGCCGGACGCGCGCAGAGCAGAAAACGCTGGCGACAGCAACCACGGAGCGACGGGAAACCGAGCCGGCTAATCGGAAATACCGGCCTAAAACGCCGCTCTGGGTGAAAGGACAATCCAGCGCGGCGGGAAAGATAAGGGCGGGAGGCGCCGCGATTTTCACAGGCCACAGCAAAGGCCGCAGCTGGGACAAGGGCTTTCTCCAAGGCGGCTGAGGAACGTGGACCGCTGCCGGCGGCGCCCGGCTCCTCGCAGGGGCCTCCCTTCACGACCCCTTCCCCTCACACCCCCGCCAGCCAGGTCCGACACTCACCAAACGGATGAAGCCAAAGCCACGGTCCCGATTGATGAAGACCTCGCTGGGCTCGCCGTAGCGCTCGAAGAGCCTCTTGAAGTCCTCCTCCGTGATGTCTGTGGGCAGGTTCCCCACGAAGAGGCGACAGCGTTGCGTGTACGTCTTTTCGCCCGGCTTGAGGAAGCTCTTGATGTCAATGGTGAATCCCATCTCTTCATCGGGGTGGTCCTCCGGGGGTACGGGGGCAGGTGGCGCCGGCTCCCCCGCTAGCGCGAGGGCCATGGCGGCCGCCGGCTCGCTCTCGCCTGCCGCGGACTCAAGAGCTCGAAGGCGGGCCGGGTTTTTCTCAATGCGTACTTGCTTCAGGTTTCCTCTTAGCATCATCTTAGTGAGTTGACTTCAGATACTGGATATAATTCTAGAGCTATAGCGTATCTCTGTATATACCTAGAGAAACGGAATATAGAAGGAAAAAGTCAGAGAAGACAGCTAGGTCGCCTAGCGCGCTGCCCCGCCTAGTAGGACTCACGGCCCGGGTAGCTGCACGTTCAAAATGGCGCTGCCACCAGCCGCAGTTACAAGAAGAGACGCCAGCTGTAAGCCCCGCCCCTCCGCAAAGGCCGGCGCCTGAGCCACCGCGCCTGCGCATTATTGGCGCCAACGGCACGATAACTAGCATGCGCATGAGCACAATATTAAATGCGCTGTGGAGCCAAGTCACCTTCTAGGCTTCGCGAAATGCGGTTTCCCATCCTTCTAAATTAGCAGAGTGTTGGGTTGCGCTTGTGAGAAAAATTGTGTTATGTGTGCATCCAGCGTGTGAAAACACAATGATTTGGGGAATATCTATATTCTTTTAAATATCCAGCTCAATTCTCAATGACTATGGAAAAATGAAAACTTGCAGATTTTATGCATAGCATTGAATAAGATATTTCCCAGTAATTGGAACACGTAAAAACATTTATTTCTGCCCGTTTCAACAGCAGGGTTTTTATTATATTTACTGATATAATCCTGTTCTATAAAATAATTATGCTGTTGATTATTCGCCTCGGAGAAGGACTCCATGAAATAGCTTATGAAATTCTGAACTCCTATGGACCATACTCCATAACACAGGTCAACAAATATTTTCTGTAAAGGGCCAGATTGCAAATATTTTAATATTTGTGAGCCATACAGTGTCTGCCAAACTACTCAGGTCTGCTCAGTACCTTTCCTGGGACATGGGCAGGCACTCTTCAGTGAGTGTTAGAAAGAAATGAATTCACTCTCTGCAAAACATTTTAGTAGTTTCTCATGAGGTTAAACATATGCTCACTTAAGAGCAATCCCACTCCTAATTACCCAAGTGAAGTGAAAACTTGTGTTCACAGAAAAAATATATGCAAATGTTTATAGGGGCTTTCTTTGTAATCAACAAAAACTGGAAACAATCCAAATGTCCAACTAGTGATAGGTAAACAGTGTGACATTCATATAATAAAATACGCTTAGCAATAAAAAGGAATGCACTACAGAACACAGATCAGTGGCCGCCAGGAGCTGGGGGTGGGGTGACTACACAGAGACACAGGGAAATGTTTGGAATGATGAAACTATATTCTGAATGAGGTGGTGGCTACACAATTGTATGTGTTTGTCAAAACTTGGTAAACTGTGCACTAAAAGGGTCAGTATTACTGTTTGTAAATTATGCCTTAAAAATTTTTAAACTATGCAAGAATTTAAAAATAAAATACCATCAAGACTAATCCCTATTTACCTTAGTTACCATCCAAATTCTAATCACCCAGACTCTAATCCCCAGAGAGTTCTGTAAATTCCTGAGTCTGACCCACTTCCCCACACCCCTCTCAGTTGCTCTAAAGCCTTCTACTAAGTGCTTGGAAACTCACTCTCTGTCATCAGCAGAATCCCCTATCTTTAATTTTTTCTCTGAACATCTTCACTTTCCTGCTTTAACTGGAATATTGTTTTCCTCTGAAGATTGCTTCCCCAACAGCCCTCCCTAGAGGTGGACATTTTTCCTACATCCCATGTGTCACTAGACTTAAGGATGAGACAGAGACATTCTCCGTGATCCCTTGCAAGTTGAAGAATATTTCCCCTCTCCTTCAGCAAAAATCCCAGCTCCAAAATTCTCGTGCCAATATAAACATGAGCTTATGCTCCCTCTCCTGCTCTCCCTCTTCTTTACTCTTCCTTCTCCACCCCCCGTAATAACTTTTTCACCACTCTTTAAATTTACAACCACAAATGTGTGGTAGGACCTCAGCCCCTACTTATTTCTCTCACCTAACAATTTCAGACTATTTTCTCTCTCCTCAAACCAACACTCCCCCCACCTCATTCATAGCCAATAATGTCAGTTTTTATTGACTTCACTGAAGAAAAAGACACAATCAGAATAAAATTGCCTCACTCGATCAGCACCAAATCAACTAACCTAATACCATATGTAGCCTTCCCTCCTGTTACAAGAATGAATTGCCAGTGATCCCCTCTAAGGCCAACCCCCTGGATAGCATCTTCTTTCCAAGCACTTTGCTTCTGCAGTTAACTAGTCATCTTCCCAAGTGGTCGGTCCCTTGATCTGTACTCAACTATATCCATGTGCAAAACAAAACAAACTGCTGACGAAACTGTCACTTTAAAAAAAAAAAAAAGGAAAGAAAAAAAACCCTTCCTAGACCAATGTTGTCCTTTAGCTATTTCTTTACTAGAAAGAGAGAAACAGAGCAGAAGAATTGTCTATATTTTCTGTCTCTATTTGCTCATTTGATATCTCCTTAAGCCACATTAATCAGATGTCTATCCCCACATTCCATTCCTCTGAAACCTCTCTTGGCACAATGGGTGACTCTACTTTACCAGGTGCAACAGTCAAATCTCAGACTTTTCAGCAGCATTTGACATTGTAGACCCGTGCCTGAGTTTCACAATGTATAATTTGGGAATAATACCTACTTAACAGTTATTGTGCATAGTAAATGAATTACAGTATAATCTTTGGAAAATATTCTGATACCATAAGTGTTATTATTGGTCACTTTTCTCCTAACTTCTGGAAACACTATTCTGTCTTCTATACTATCATATTCTCCTGGTGTTCTTACACCTCACTAGCCACTCCTCAGTCATTATCCTTCTTAAGAATCCTAAGTATGTTGGAGAGCCACAAGTTTAAGTCCTTCTCTCTTCTTTAGCTACGTTCATTCCCTAGGTCAGACCATCCACATCATGGTACCTCAGAAGCATTACAGCATGTTTTCTAAACCTCAATACTATTTGCATTTTGGACCAAATAATTATTTGTTGTGAGGGAATGTTTAGCAGCATGACTGGCTTCTACCAACTAGATGCCAGTAGCACCTTGCTCCAGGTTGTGGCAAAGCAAAACCTGCCAGGCATTATTCTAATTGTGTTACACTTATTAACTCATTAATCTTCATAACAACACATTTATTTACTTATTTACTTATTTTAAGATTTTATTTGTCAGAGAGAGGGCGGAGAGAGGGCACACAAGCAGGGGGAGCAGAGGTAGAGGGAGAAGCAGGCTCCCTACGGGGCAAGGAGCCCGACATGGGACTCAATCCCAGGACCCTGGGATCATGACCTGAGCCAAAGGCAGACGCTTAACTGACTGAGCCACCCAGGAGTCCCTACTGTTGTCACTTCTAAACTTTATTTTTTAGGGCAGTTTAGATTCACATCAAAATTAAGAGCATGTTACAGAGATTTCCCATATATTCCCTGCTCCTACATATGCACAATCTTCCCCATTATGAACATAACCCACAAGAATGATACATCTGTTACAGTTGATGAACCTATATTGTCACGTCATGATCACACAGAGTCCAATAGGATTCACTCAGTGGTGTATATTCTATGGGTCTGGAAAAATTTATGATGACATGTATCCACCATTATAGTATTATACAGAGTGCTTTCTCTTAAGATTGTATTTATTTGAGAGAGAGACAGAGAGAGCACAAGCAAGGGGAGGGGCAGAGGGAGAGGAAGAGGGACAAAGCAGACTCCCTACTGAGCGGGAAGCAGGAACCTGAGATCATGACCTGAGCAAAGTCAGACACTTAACCGACTGAGCCACCCAGGGGCCCCTATACAGAGTACTTTCACTGCCCTAAAACTCCTCTGTGCTCCACCTGTTCATCCCTCTCCCCATCCAACCTCTGGAGATCACTGATGTTTTTGTCTCCATAGTTTTACCTTTTCTAGAATGTCATATAATTGGAATCATATAGTGTGTAGCCTTTTTAGACTGTCTTCTTTCACTTAGTAATATGCATTTAAGATTCCCCTATGTCTTTTCATGGCTCAGTAGCTCATTTCTTTGTAATACTGAATAATATTCCATTGTCTGGATGTAGCACAGTCAATTTATCCATTCACTTACTGAAGGACATCTTGGTTGTTTCCAAGTTTGGCAATTATGAATGAAGCTGCTATAACATGTGTGTGCAAGTTTTTGTATGGATATAAGTTTTCAACTCCTTTGGGTAAATAGCTAGCAGTGAGATAGCTGGGTCTTACGGTAAGAGTATGTTTAGCATTTGAGAAACTGTCAAACTGTCTTCCAAAGTGGCTATACCACTTTGCATTCCCACCAGCAATGAATGACTGTTCCTGTTGCTCCACATCTTTACCAGCATTTGGTGGTGTCAGTGTTCTAGATTCTGACCATTCTGTTACGGGTATAGTGGTATCTCATTTTTGTTTTAGTTTACATTTCACTGATAATATACCATATGGAACATCTTTTCTTATGCTCATTTGCCATTTATATATCTTTTCTGAGGTGTCTGTTAAGGCCATTGGCCCATTTCTTAATCAGATTGCTACTGTTGAGTTTTAAGAGTTGTTTGTATACTTTGGATAACAGTCCTTTAACAGATATGTCTTTGGCAAATATTTTCTTGCAACCTATGAGCTTGTCTTTTTATTCTCATGACAGTGTCTTTTACAGAGCAGAAGTTTTTCATTTTAATGAAGTTCAGCTTATCAGTTCTTTCTTTCATAATTCATATCTATAGTGTTATATCTAAAAAGTCATCACCATGGGATGTCTGGGTGGCTCAGTCGATTGAATGTCTGCCTTCGGCTCGGGTCATGATCCCAGGGTCCTGGGATCCAGTCCCATATCCAGCTCCTTGCTCAGCAGGGAATCTGCTTCTTGCTCTGCCTGCTGCTCCCCCTGCTTGTGTTCTCTCTCTGACAAATAAATAAAATCTTTAATAAATAAATAAATAGTCATCACCTGGGACACATTGGTGCCTCAGTCAGTTGAGCGTCTGCCTTTGGCTCAGGTCATGATCCTAGGGTCCTGGGTTTGGGCTCCCTGCTCAGTGGGGAACCTGGTTCTCCCTCTCCCTCTGCTGCTCCCCTTGCTTGTGCTTGCTCTCACTCTCTGTCAAATGAATACATAAAATAAAAAGTCATCACCAAACCAAAAGTCATTTAAATTTTTTTCAATTTTTCTTCTAGGATTTTTAAAGTTTTGTGTTTTACATTTAGGTCTATGATCCATTTTGAGTTAATTTCTGTGAAGGTTATTAGTTTTGTGTACAGATTCTCTCTCTCTCTTTTTTAATATGTGATTGTCCAGTTGTTCCAGC